GATGTCTCTATTTCTAAAAGGCTGGGAATCACAGCTTGGAATAATCCAAGTTGGTGTCCCTCAAACCAGATGTTGTCCCTGACAGAAAGCTCCAGATCGAACCTCAGTACTGATCCATCTGCTGCTGCTTCTGATCTCTGCTTTCTTTGCCTACTCTGAGCTGAGGCACACTCACAAGGCCAAAAGGCAAAGGGAGTTCCATGTATCACAGACACAGCAAGTCATTGTTATATACGATAAAAAAATTGAACATTCATAAATAATCAAGAAATTCCCTATCAGTCAATCAATATAATGGCTGGCATAGTAGTCTTTGGTAAATAAAACCGGTTGTCATCGAGTTGATTCTAACTCGTAGCGACCGCACGTGTGTCAGAGTAGAACTGCGCTCCATGGGGTTTTTTCAGTGGTTGATTTTTTGGAACTACACTGCAAGACCTTTATTCGGAGCTGGGTTAACTGTTTGCATCACCCTGGGACTAAGCTACAAAAACAGTTAACTGCTCTATAGGGCAGTTGTTTTTTTTTTTTGAACTGGTGATTAAAAAAATAATTGATGTCTATATATATATATATATATATATATTAAAAAAAAAACCCAAACCCGTTGCTGTCGAGTCAATTCCAACTCATAGCTCCTAACCACTTCGCCACCAGGGCTCCAAATGACATACAGCAGAAAACAAAATACAAAGAACTCTAAAAAACTCAGAAACTTTACAGCATGAATTGAGCTACAATCCACTTTAATGTGTTCACCGTTTACCTCCATTTAACCTGAAACACTGTGAGTAACTGGCTGCTGTCAGACAGACTCAGAGCCTCTCTTGGCTTCAGCTCTATTAGCTAAGAAAGTTCCTCCCACCAGACTCCTGGGAACAGAGCGGCACCACCTATGCGAAAGGATTAAGGCTTTTCCCCTTGAAATACATTTCAAGCATTTTGGAAAAAGACCTCAAACTTAGTGGCTTTGCAACCTCAGGTAAGGAAAGAGTGACAATAATACCATCCAGAGACTGACCTCTGATTCCTTCTCTAAAACGACGACAAAAATTCCATACCATGTCCCAGGATTTTTATGTCTGCAGCAAATGTCATCCTACATAGGGATCCATGCGGGCCCAGAGGGACACAGGCTGCACTTGTCAGGGAGCCAGCCTGAGGTCGCACCTGGGCAGACAGACAGCCCTAGCAGTGCCACCTGAGTCACAGGAGGAAATGCGATATGCATGTCCCTCCATCCTGGGCCCCAGGCCCCTCCCTTCCGGGGCTGCTCAGGAATCCATTCCAGACACAATCACAACACTTGGGCTTCCTGCTAAACTCCCAGCTAAAGGCCAACATCGCCCCCACTCTCCGCCACAGTCCGCATGGGAGCAGGCACTCTCTTTGTTTGGACTTTTGAAGCATCTACGGCCATCTTCGGATAACTGGTGGCACGGTGATTAAGAGCCTGGTTGCTAACCAAAGAGGTCGGCAGTTTGAATCCACCAGCCACTCCTTGGAAACCCAATGAGGCAGTTCTACTCTGTCCTACAGGGTCGCTGTGAGTCAGAAGCGACTTAACGGCAATGGGTTTTATGGCCATCTTCACCCAAGCATCAGAACACTATTTGGACTTGGGAGACGGAGAAGGGGGATGCATGATGGGTGAAAATCCATTGCCATCGAGTCGATAACAACTCCAGAGGCAGCATCACACAGGACTGCCCATGTGGCTATCCATCTTTGGATTTCCTGTAGGCCTAGAGAGGGTTTCTGGGTGCCATAAACTGTTAAGCACTCGGCTGCTAAGCGGTAGGTTGGAGGTTCAAGTCCACCCAGAGGTGCCTCCGAAGAAAGGCCTAGCCATCTCCTTCCAGAAACTCAACCAGTGAAAACCGTATGGAGCACAGTTCTACTCTGACACACATGGGGCCGGCATGAGTCACAGTCAACTTCAAGTCAACTTCATGGCAACTGGTTTAGGCCTCAAGAAGACGGGGACACTACCTGCAAAAAGACATTTAAAAAAACAAAAGAAATACATAGTGGAGGAGTAGCTCTCCAAGTCCTAAAGACATAATTCCACTGGGAAGTTAGAGCAAAAAAGAAAAACACGAAAAGGTCAAGGCGAGGAAACTGGAACCAACTTGACCTTTGCAATGGGGAATAAGGAAGTTGGGGGAGGCTCCCTACTCTTGTGACTGCGTGGTTGGGGGAGGTATTTTCCTTTGGCAAAGATTTCCTGGTCAGTCCGTATCAAAACCTCTCCCTGCGTCCACGGAAAAAAAAGACTGAGAACTCTGAAAAAAAAAAAAAAAAGACTCAAGAGCCATATGGAAGTTTCTATTTTTTACCTCTCACCATCTGGCTTGGGATCTAAGTACAGAATGGCAACTGCACTGATTTGGAGCCAAGAAAATCTCCGAGCAACAGGAAAGGTGATAAGCTGGTGGGTTAGGGCCCCGCAATCTGTGGCCTTTGGCATCTTCTTTACACCATCATCGGTAAGGTCTCGAAGGCTGGCTCCAGACACAACTGCTCCCAGTGTTTGTACCACGGGGGTATATGTTCTCTGATGAGTTGAGCCACTTCACATGAAAAGTGAAAACTACATGCGGGTAGAGACCATTTCAGGATTTGGGAAGAGGATTCCAGAAATCAAGTTCCCAGATCGTGTCTCTCCACCTCGGGCAAGAGCCTGCTCGCTCGTGGAATTCTCGCTCGCCGTATCACCAGCAAACTGACACTATTACAGTTCCGCAGTTTGTCAGCATGCCATCCTAGAATTCCAAAAAAACTCTAAACATGCAGGATTTTTTTTTTTTTTTAAACCTAACTCATTTGGCAGCAAAATCTGTCCTGACCTGAACTCACTTGGTGCCAAAACCCGACCCAAATGGACCAGAGGCTGTGTAGTCTTCATTTATCTGACTTGGGCTCTCCAGAAAGACTGATGCCTTGGATTTGCAGGATTGCCCCAGATTTTGAGGGGGTATCATGTAGTATCCAGTGTAGGTACCATATTACTTTTCAAAACCCCCCAAATTTCCAAATTCTGGAAGAGGTCTGGTCCCAACGGTTTTGGGAAAGGCACTGGGGCCCTGTATTTTTCTTTTCAGAAGTCCCTGGGTGGTGCAAACTGTTAACACACTCAGCTGCTAACTGAAAGGTTGATAGTTCAAGTCTACCCAGAGGTACTTTGCAAGAAAGGTCTGGTGATCTACCTCCGAAAAACCTATAAAGTACAGTTGCAAACTCTATAAAGTACAGTTCTACTCTGACACACATGGGTTCGCCATGAGTCGAGATTGACTTGATGGCAACTACTTTTTAAAAAATTTTTCTTCTCAGCTCCTGCTTAGAATGCTGTTTGGAATGTCCATATTGCAGGGCTTGGTTGTTAGGCCGAAAACACACAAGTTATTCCAATGCCCTTATGTGACCTGTTCTACAAGTGAAGACTCTTCAGTAGCAAAGGAGAGAAGTGTTTTCCCCTAATCAGATATTTGGGTTTTCTTTTTACCATACAGTTTAGTCAACTAAAATCTCTTGCCATGTTAAAAAAAAAAATGCCCCCTTCTTTCTCTGCCACTGACTGTGCAGAGTAAATGGCATCTTTTTGCTTTTTCTTTTTTAAAGACAATTTTTCTGAGATATAATTTACATACCATAAAATCCACCTGCTTCAGCTGTACAATTTCATGGTTTTTTTAGTAAGTTTACAGTTGTGCAATCACCACAATCTAATTTTAGAACATTTCCAACCGCGTCACAGCATGTTATGAGGATTTCATTCCTCTTTATGGCCAAATAGCATCCCATCATATGGATATACCACACCTAATGGCAGATTCTTTATCAAGATTCCAGAACCTGCCATTCTTTAAAGGATCTATGAGAATGAACGCCTGACGTGGCCTCTCGTCTCGCCGCCCCCCTTTATAAGCCGCACTGCGCAGGCGCACGCCGAGCTGGCCCCTACTGGTCATATGTTGAATGAACAAATGAATTACCCAAAATATAGAAATAAACCCCAAGTCGAATGATGTGGTAACCTGAAGCCACGAAATCAGGTTTAAAAGGAAAAATGGAAAAGGTTGATTATTAGTTAGGGGTTTTCAGACTTTGCGATTTGGTGAGTGAGTTACCTTGTGCTTCAGGATTTGAGGGATGTGGGTTCTACACCATCATTTCTGATTTCTCTCTGAAAAACTAAGCGACCATTTGGGAGCAATAACACTGCGGCTTCGTGCAAAAATCACAGGAATCCTCTCAGCCCGTTATGTTTATCTGGCCCACCATCCCTTTAGGTAAGTGACTTGAACTACACTGAGACTTAGCTGACGGCGCCGAGTATGAAGGCCCGTGGAGACGTTGGGAACATGAAGGGCTTCCTTCCCTCTGGCTCCCCACCAGTCGGCTGACGCACGCTTCACCCACACCCAGCACCTGGCAGTTCTGAGAGAACAGCGTCCTCCTGGAGCAAGGAAACCAGAAATCGGATCCCGTGAACCTACCTGGTGGGGATTGAGTACACAGTTATCCGATCCTAATTTCATGGGCTTTGATTTTTTTCCCTCTCAAAGGCAATAACTGATGTTAAAACAGGGTGGTGCCGAGAGGCAGGGCTGGAAGACACTAGAGGATGGTCACGGGTGCCCTGGCCCAGCTCTTGGCCCTGTGCAACCCCCACCCATTTGGTTCTGCCACTGGACATTTCGTGGTTAACGCGAAGGCATAGCTCACTATACACTGCTCCCTTTGAGAAGAGGGGGTGAGCGGGAGGGAAGGGGTCAAGGGAGAAAACAGAGGAGAAAGATGGGGTGGAATGGAGAGGGGGAGAGAGAAAGAAAGATGATTAAAACTTCTTAAAGGGCCAGTCCCACCCGCGCCCATGTGAACAAATTAATGCATCAAGCAAAACATAAAATGTCGCCAAACTGAAAAAGCCATTACAAATCATATTAAAGATAACAGTGACTTGCTATTAGAATGCATCCCGAGGCTGTATTTACCTGGACTGCTCAAGGGGCCAGCCCTGTCCCCCTGGGTTGGCACAGGATGGTACTGGTGGTTCTTTGAGCCTGGGTACATCCAGTGGTACCTGCCAATTTCCATTTCAGCTCTGCTGTTCACTGCCAATTTCAGGTGGCAAAGAGTCAGTGTCTCTATCTCCAGCAAAGAGTCTACATCAGCATTTTTAGTTATTCTTTTACCATATAGTTAAAGGAAACTGGGGCGTTACCCAAATACGCTATCGAAATACAACCCCTCAGTAAATAGCAGCTTCTTCACTCAGCGTGATAAATTGAAACTGCTTGCGTCTCCCCCTCGGGTTTTGCATGTAAGGTTACATAAATACCCCAGATTATTCTGTCTGTCCTTATTGTCTCCATCTTTCTCTTCCCTTCTACCCATCAGAATGCTCATTTTGCGCAGACACTATTCGACAGTGGAAATGGGGCTTCTCACGATAATACTTTCCTATTTCATTTTCAGGCCAATAGAGCAATATAATCACCGCCAGCTGCACAAGCAAAGGTGACCACCAACTCACGTTCCAGAATGGTGCCCAGTCCTTGTCTAGGAAATCTGGCAAATAGACCCGTGGTCTGCTGAACCTTGGATGCAACACCTGCCCTCCCACTGCTCTGCAGCAGTCTCTGTCACCTCATCTTAAACTTAGTACTTCAGACTCTAGAATGTTCTGGATTAAACCCTGTTCCAACTTCTCTCCCAGCGTGTTGTAGAGAAAGGGCTGTTGGTCTTGGGCTGGAACCACTGTTTACTCACACATGTGGTGACAAGTGGTTTCCCAGGGATTCTGGTGCCTCACTGGTCATATGACTCTATTTCCCACTTCTTTGGGGTTTGAGGAGGAAAATATCTACCAATTTGCTTGGCACAGAGTAGGCTTCTAGTAACTGTTAGGTGAACTTGAATCTTGAAATCCCTAAGAGACCATAAGGTCACTATGGCAGGTTTATATCTGAGAATCCCACAAAGCATACTAAGACATATGTTCCTCTGAAGTGCCACAAATATTTAAGGATAAAAAAGATGATTCTGTCATTGATGTGGGTAATTATTCCATTAGTGGATCAAGCACCTCCAATTACTGAGAACAAGGACCAAGCAAGCAGCCCCGTTGTGAGGCAGACAAGCAAATGCCTAATGTCACAAAGCCTCTCTTTAGGAAATCCCAACTCCACTCTCCATCATCTCTAAAAATGCTCAAGATATTTCAGCTTGGGAAGTAGAGACATAATTTCCTAGGTAAGCTTTCAGAGAAAACTTTTTGGACTTCGAGGTAAGGTAAAAGCATTTTACTTAAAAAAGAAAAAAAGATGCTGGGATAAGATCAGAACAACACAACTACTTTTGTTGCTCTGCTGTTTTAGCGTCAAGAACAATGCCCATAGCTATAATATATGGAGTGTTTACGATGTGCTAGTCATCATGCTAAGCACATTGCACCCAGAATCTCATTTGTTACAACAACCCTATGAAATAGATACTATTATTATTCTATCTTTACTGATGAGGAAACTGAGGGCAAGGGGAAGATAAGTCATTTGCCCAAGATCATTCAGCCATGGGGTGGAGGAGCCTGGTGTGAGCCTGGGCAATTGGACTTTACCATGTTGTCCTACTTCAGCCTGTGCATTTGCTCTAATTTTCTACTCTTTGGCTGAGGCAGTGGTTAACTCAACAATAGTTTTTCTGAGGTCCACTTGGAAGTGACCTGTGCTTCTTTGCCTCCTAAAGAAATATTCCAGTTCCCATGCCACTAATGTTATTTCGGGGTTCTTAAAAGTTCTCAAACTGGAATTAGATGCTTGCTTTACTGCTCACGAGATTCTGTGTCAGACATACGTTGTGCTACGTTCTCCAAAGTCAATGAAACCCAGTGGGGCTGGTGGAAAGAGCCAGAAGGCCACATCACCTCATTGTACCATCTGATTTCTTTTTGATAAAGTTCTGTGAGCCCTCCATAACGGCCCCAAACAAGTAGTTCAATTATTTTTTCTCTGAAAATTGTCATCCTCCTTTTAAAAATATTTAGCTCCACATGCACAACACATAGTAGGTACCCAATAAACGTTTGCTGAATAAATATTTGGCTGCAAACAAGGGACAAACAGTGAAAGCTTTTGGCACGTGGGACCCTGTGGACCAAGAAATAGACCTCCGAGTCCCCCGCCACACTGATCTCCACCCAAGCTAAGACATGAGAGTCAGGGAGGCTCTGAATAGGGCACATTTATCACCTTCTGCCTGCTCGTCCACATCTCCTTGACTGGATGGGGGCGAGGTCTACAGACATTCAGGCACAGCCTGTAGGCAGCCACAACAAAAAACCACAGCCTGCCCAACACTAACGTGTTTTCTGTAAAAAGCATGGCAGCTGTGTCTAAGACGCTTCGTCCAGCAGAAAAACATGCTACTCCAGCAGCAGTGGGGATGGGATCAGCAACTGCGTGGATGTTTCTCGACCCCCTGGACTAATGTTTCTGAGGAGATTTTTTTTTACTACTGTAAATCTTTAGATATAAAGAAAACTATGTACATTTTAGCTTTCTGAGCCAATATTAAATAAAGCTATTAAATCTGAAGTGATTTATAAAATTTCAAAGAGCACAGTATACATTTTTAACCCCATGAGCAAGGTCCCAACACATAAAGGGAGTCACATAGCTCTGAGGAGATGCCTCAGCTCGAATGGTATATTAAAAACACCCTGTCAAGTATGGGCAATGGGAAAGACATGGAAATGTATACACCCAGGAAGACCCTGGTTGATGTCTTGCAGAGCTAAGACTGCAAAACATTCCCCCTTAGCGAACAGAAGATAGACAGGAGGTGGAGACCTATCCAGACTCTTACAGAAGAGCAAGAGACTTCGACACCCAAGCTGTTATTTATGGTTGGGGCTGAGGTGAGCTGTGTGGCTTATGGAGACAGACACAACTGTGGGTGGATTATCACCGGAGGTGGGTATGAAAAAACAGTGGGAAATTGGCAGCGAGGTGGGGGGAGCCAGTGCCTCAGTCACTGAGTTATTGTTAATGGTGGTGGAATAATTTGGAAAAGATACGTAACGGTTGCCCAACATGATGAACATAATCAGTGTCACTGAATTGTACACGTAAAAAAAATGCTGACTTGGCAAATTCGTGTTATTTATGTATTTCACCAGGATAAAATAAACAAATAAAAACAAAACAAAAACCCAACGCCTTGTTCACGTTTTTTCTCCTACTTAGATAATGTGCTTTAATGATAAGGCTGAGCAGCTGAAATGCAGACTGGTGTGCTTTCTAGCATTTAGGAAACTGCTACCAGAAGCAACTAAGTGACAAAGGCTGGGCTTCCCGGAAAGGCCAAATTTGCGGGGCAAGGTCTTTGAAAGCTATATTTATCGTCCTTCATTTTAGCTGTTACTTAAAGTATTAAAGGGATGCCACACCAACACTATAGAATGTAGCAGAGGTCACCAAGCTATGGCCACTTGCTTTTGCAAATAAAGTTTTATTGGAACAGAGCCCCACCCATTCGCTTAAGTACCGTCTCTGGCTGCTTCCATGCTACAATGGCAGGGTTCAGCAGGTACAACTGGGACTGTGTGTTTCACACAGTCTAAAATATTTACTACCTGACCTTTTACAGCAAAAGTATGCTGACTCCTGCTACAGAATACAGCCTAGTAGGGCTTGACTATATAAAGCAGTTAATGCAAGTAATAAAGTCAGCCTGTAAGATAGGAAATTATTTTCTTTTCTCAGACTACACTACTCTCTGAGGAGAAATATCACTGTGCTGGCCAGGGATCAAAATTCTAGTCCTAGCGTGTGGCCTGCTATTTAATCTCCCACCAATCAGCACAACTGTGGTTAAAAGCAAGACCAAACCACACCTAATGGTCCCGAAGACAGGTTAGCACGCCTCTCAGTACAACACGAGCCGAGACGACAGAGGAAGGATGACGTTCTACAGAAGACCATTATGAAGTGAATGAATGAAGGCACAGCCAAACCAGCACACTTGTGAAGCTGGATTGTCACCTCCATCTCTTAAAAGCCAGTGTGCTCACCACCTTTCTCTGTTGCACAGCCATCCTTAATCCTGGCAAACCATCGCATGCATATGTACAAAGGCAGGGCAGCATCTCTGGCACCATCCCGTTCAGCCTCACCAGTCCCAGTGGGGAGACGCTTACATCACGGGACACTGGCTATTTCACATGTTCTCAGATACATAAAGACTAAGGAGTCATTCCATTAAGGTTATTTACCCTCAATTTACCTGAACCTCCAAATAACAGAGAAACGGGATTTATTTAACGATGATGACAAAATTCAGGGCTGACACTCAGTTCTCAGGGAAGGCGAATCAAAATTCCAGAAACAGGCCAGAATTCTTTTTTCTAATGTTAATTGATGAACTAGCAAGGCCAAGTCTTAAAAGATGCACCAAATGGCTCCTTGCGATCTTTTCCACATTTAAATTTTCTTTAAAAAAAAAAAAAAAAAACCAAAACCAAAGAAGGCTTATCGCACCTACCACATATGTCCGGCACCATCTGGTGGCCCACTCTTTTCCCGACAGCCTATTCCCCAGACACCCTCTCTTCAGATGTTCTCCTTGGCAGATTCTTAGAGAAAACCTGCATCTAAAACTTTCTCTGTACCACAGTCAGATCATCAAGCTAGAAAACGTCATTCAAATTCTCCAGATCAAAGAATTCGAGGGCCATCGGGAACAGTGTAACCTTTTAAGTATGTCACTTTGGTCGTTTAGCACACAAGCCATGCAGTCTATGGGGACTGTTTTTCGTCCTAAACAAAAAAGAGGAGGCAGGCAAAAGCGCATGAATTTTGCTGTTAAAAAAAAAAAAAGACAGAAAGAAATTTTATCTATTTGATTAGAAAGATTTAAAAGGACGTGTTAATTTTTAAAACAAGTCAACAATTGGTTCATTTCTTACTTTGGCTATCTCTTGCACTTTATTTTAAACTCCATGTTGTTTCCGGCATGCTACATTTTTTCTTCCAGTGTGGTTGGGGCACTTAAATTTGATGCCTGGAATTCTGGAATTTATTTCAACAATGATTCATAGGGGTTTCACTAGCCTGCCTATAATTGTGTCAGCTGATTCCAATTCCTTGTATATAAAAATAATTTTCATCCAGAGATTTAGATTTTTGTCACATGATAGAGCATACAAAGTTGTTCTTATGATTTTTTTCTACTCTGTGATTATGCACGCCCAGCAACTCCAGCTGCGTTTGTTTTCACAAATGAATTGATAGCAAGTAATACTCTACCGAAACAAATGGAAACCAACTCACCATCTCTTCATCATTGGGTCCCGCAATCTATTTCCTTTGATTCTGTCCTATTCATTTCCTCCATTTCAGTGAGTCTGCTTACTTGATTCTCGCACTTTGATTTAATTTAATGCTTGCAATTTAAAGACTGTCATTTGTAATAACGTGGCAACTCTTACATTTGTCTGAGAAAACCTGCCTGCTTTCCTTTAAAGTCCCTGAATAGCTACCTAATATTTCTTGTAAATTTTGGTCATCTAGTGTGTCGTGCAACAACAGGCTCAAACACAGCGCTGATTGTGAGGGTGGCGCAGGACCGGGCAGCGTCTCCCTCTGTTGGACACAGGGTCGCTACAAATCGGAACCGACTCCACGGCACCTAACAACCGTGGCGTCCTGTGACAAAAGCTATTAGACTGCTTCAAAATACATATACTTTCTTTTTTAAGGACTTGGAATGATTTAGGTTTACAATAGGAACAAAGCTATTCTGCTTTAGTTTAAAGAAACGGCGCTCTGTGTTGGAGATGGTGAATCCCAGTAGCTGGGGGGTTTTATCCTGACATAAGTCCCCGGAAGGACACCGACTATAAAAGCTGAGGTTGATTTAGAAAGCTTCAATTAATTTCCATGCTTAATAACCACTGTCATAATAATCCAAAGCTATTTATTCAAAAGCTATAGGGTGCTAGCTAGCCTTTGGGTAATAACAACACCCCAAATTAAGAGACAGGCATTGCCCCAGGCATCAACAATGTACAGAGAATAGGAATGGAGGGATAGAGGGAGGAAAAGTGCATACAAACTCTGAGAAGTGACAAAATATACAGGATTAAATTTCATTGAAAAAAAACATCCCTTGCTGAAAGACTTAAAAGAAGAAAAAAACCACACACACAGACACACAGATCCACCAGTTCAAGAATTATAGAACGCGTTCTATAAGTAATTATATCAAATTTTCCAATGTTAATTTTGATGGAATAAACATTTTATGAAACATAAAATTAAGTCTGAAGGAATAGCAGAATGACAAGCACGCACAAACATTGTGGCTGTAGTTTTATGTTTATATATATGCCTTTAACAACAATGGGTGAGCAAACTGAGAAACGGAAAAGAAGATACTTGTGTGAGTTTTGACTTTGGGCACCTGTCATATGAACCTGTTCATCTGAATGAAGATGAGTAGCCGGGCCACCATCCAGGTCAACATTTATGATAAGTCACGTAGCGACCAGTTGCTAGAGATCAGTAAAAATAAACGACCTGGCCCGTATTCTTATTCAAGCATGTGAGACAGATGGGATGATAGCTTTTGGTAACTTGGTATTTTTGAATTATTTTAAAACAAACAGCTAGTGTTGATTAATTCTGGTAATTTTTAAAGTTCCTCCAAAAATTAGCTCTTATTTCTAATTTTGCCTCTGAAGCCACAGCTAACGAGTTTTCATATCCAGGTTGCCAAGGATCCAGTGGCAGTCTGCAGATGTGTTATTAAATAATATTTCACATCAAATAATAATAGTCTATAAAACCAAATTATGATGAGATACACGATTGTGTAGTAAAGGACTTTATACAGGTTTTCTGATCCTTGCTTGCTTGTGGAGAGAAAAACAAATGGTATATTTTTGTAGAAACCAAAATGGTTTTAACTGCCACTGGAAAATGCCCTATTAATAACAATAAAATCATGTACTAGACAAAGTCATCTATTCTAGGAAACAATGACTATAAACCATGCTAGACCGTCTCAGGACGTTATTACATTATTATGTCCCCAAGTATGCAGTCAACTTAGTCTCTAATCATCACAGAAATAAACCTTTAAACTTTTATCCCCATTCTTCAGCTTGATGAATATTCTTAAGAGCTTCTCTTATTGCTATTTAGTCATTTATGTAGATTAAACACACACACACACACACAAATCCACATACAAGAAAAGTCAGGGTGTTTTTTTTTCCTGGCTGGGGAGAAGGAGGAAGATGGTTTTGAGGTAGGGATTGAACTAAGCTATCAATTTAAAAATGAAATTGCTTCCATTTAGGCTAAAATGTTACTAAAATATTGTGTACAAAAAGAAATTCCATCTAAAAACAAGCAGTATCTCCACCAGAATCCTGTTAAGTTGAACTATATAAAATTGTTGCTGTGGGTGAAAAATGGTTGACGAGCAGTAATTTCATATGGTTTAACCTGTATATTCATAAACCAAACCCAGCTGTGCCTCCATTCTGGAGAATTACTATTGCTTAGTGGCTGTCAATGGACCCCAAGGGCCGTGAGAAATCACCGAGCCTGCTGGCTTTTTCTAATAGGGCCATCGTGGTTATAGAATACGTTTTTGTGCATTCATAACACTCTATCACTTTGGGTGAGGGAGATAAATTACAGTGCAGCGAGATGTCATTAACCTGACGGTGGCTGAGCTGATGCTATGGGCTATCAAACTTGAAATCAGTCTATTATCTAGAAACAGAAAGATTAATTCTAGCTTTTCGTTTCTGCCATCTTCTTACCGCAAAACACTTATTTCTCCCAGAAAGCTGTTCTGCATGTCAGAATCCTCCTAAGGAACGGGACCTTTATCGATTTTCCTTCCTCAAATCTCCAAGTCATTAATAGCAGGACCCCATGCCCCCATCCCTTTTTCCATCAGCACTGGGTGACAGAGCTGACATCCCCTCTCTTAAACTCCAAAATGTCACAGTCTGAAATAGCACTCATATTAGAATAAGAAACTGAGAGAACGTCCCAATCACTAGAGCATTAGTGGCAGCAACACATATTTCACACGCGTGCCCCTCAGTTCCTCCTCGGCATTAGCAGAAAACACCACATTCCACGTCCCTGGAATATGCCCAAGGCTTCTAAGCCACAGTAACATGCAGAACACAGGACCTAAGTGACAACTAACTATATTAATAAAAATAGACCGTTTCCCCAATCCATCCACCCAAGGTGGCAAGCTCCAGGGCTCCTTCTACGAGATACCACATACAGTAGAAGGATTTGGAAGAGGCACGGATTGAAAAGAGGAGGCAGCTCTATTAAGTTAGCATCAGTCTACATGAAAAAGCCACCCCGAAAGAAGCCCCTGCCATCGAGATGGCTTCAAAACCATTTTAAAAGAGACAAAACCGGGCTCAACCTTTTGAAGCACCCCCAGTGAAAAGCTGGAAACAGGCTATTGACAGAGCCTGGGTACCTTTTCTCTCTTGGCTTTGTTCAGTATTTTCCTCGGCTGCAGTTTCCATGGCTGGCTTCAGACCATCCACCAAAAATGCTCTGCCCCACTCCCCCCAACACACACTTTTTTCTCCCCCCCCCCTTCCTTTTCTCTTGGACTCCCCTCCGTCTCTTATTTACACCCGCGTGATTAGAGGCTCTGTTCTTCCCTACAATAGATTCCAGTCCCTTCCAAGATGCAAGTCTTGTCAGCGTCAATTTTCCTCTGCCCACTGGTCCATAAAGACAGCTGCCAAGGAGCCGGCAGCCATACGGCACCGAGGATCCCAGTTATAGAGCAGCCCTTCTGTGCCGACGGGACCTCGAGTCTCAATGCGGCGCCCAGGAGCGCAGGACTGCTCCCCCGCCGCTCTGCCTCCTTGCTAGCTTTCTTACACGCCCGCTGGCTCCCTTCTTTTCCCTAGCCAAGGCACCCAGTGAATGCTAATTAACTCTCCCAGGGAAGAATAGATTTGTGACATCAGAGGAGGGGACATGGAGGAGGAAAAACAGAGCCCGCTCCCACCACGTGACTCAGCTGGTCGCCACAGTATCTGTCTCCTCTGAGGACAACGCATGCCCAAGAATAAGCACAACTCTTTCTTCTCTGGGATGCTTTGTGATGCATGGACGTTTGATTTATTTCATTTGCCCCAACCCTGGCAAAATCTATTCAAAGGACTTGCCCACGGTCTCTATTTTCTTTGTTCTCTTTTAATATTGGTCTTTCACACCATCAGCCTAGATAGATAGATAGGGAGGTAGATAGCTAGAGATTTTAAAATATATATATATTAAAGAGAGGAGGAAAAAAATTACAAAAAAAAGGGAAGGAAGTCCAAACAGGGATTTAACAATAGCAGGGTAGCAATTCAGTATCAGAATCCATTCCCGGGTCTGTAGCTAACAGGCACGATAGTAAGAGAAACCTGGGCTCAAGCCCAGTTTATAAAAAGGCATCCCTCCTTATTTCAAAATAAGCATAACAGGTTACAGGTGGCCTCTTAGAAGGAAAATCAAAATAAGAGTGGTTTTCTTGTTGGGCGTGGTTATTGGTATATGGAGTTTTTTTTTTTTTTTTTTAATTCATTACAACACCTTTGTCAAATTCAAAAGGGTGTTTTCAAGAGCATTCTCAATGTTCAGAATAAAAGCTATTGTATCCATAATGATTCTGACTGCAGGTTTCACAAACCACCTTGGATCCCCAGATACTATGGAACCAAAGTTCTGAAGTCATCTAAGCATATTAAGTCTTTATCATGGTTATGAGCCATGTGTTTCCAAGCTTCACTAATTCCTGCACCATTTTGTAAGCATTTGGCTAACCCCCACGTGCCTTCATTTATAGAAATGAAGAACATTTACAGAAACTCAAGTCAAAAACACCAACGGCCACTGATAACCTGACCGTGAATGGAATCTTCTAATTGGTTGTGTGCTTGCCATCTATCAAAAAAGCAAATATAAAGATAAGATGGAGGCCACCCTCTCCTAAAAAAAATTCTCCCAAGTTTTGAGGCTTTGTTGCCCAACAGTTACCCAAAAAAAAAAAAAAAGTGTATAAGATCCCGAATCAAAATCCTCTAACGATCTAATCTTTTAATGCATTAGTTTTATATAATCCCCAAAGCCTTCTACATTCAATACCCCTGGCCCTGTCAAGCCAGAAAAGATTTTAAAAACCAGTTTGGCCTGTTTCAATTTTTCATCTCACCTTTCACTTTAACCATTATTCTAGAAGACCATGCCCACAATGAGCTGTTCCCTTAAATCTTGGCCCCCGGCAATATTGTCTCCTGACAAGAGGATTGCGAAGCATGACCAGCCTAAAACTGCTGATCAAGCGGGAAAGCAGACTATGGAAGACATTCTACATATAAGGCCAACTCTAGTCCTGTATCACAGTCATTGAAATCAAAGCCATTGGAGAAAACATTCACAATTCTTCCAGCTAATACTGTCATCTTCTACTTCCACCCTGAAAAACCACATGTAAATAAACAATTCATTTCTTTTGCCTTATTCATGACTACCTCATTTTCTTTTCATTAAGCAGATAAAATACGGTAATTCTAAAAGTCACCATTATACCACTTATTATCCCTATATACAGCCTCAAAACCTAATTAATGTTTATGATCAACCATTTCAATTGGAAAAAAACACTGATCAACAGCAAGGAAGAAAACAGAGTATACCACTGTAACATTTCTGACATTAGCATCCACTGTTGGCTAGAAAAACTGGATGTGCAGAATGAATGGAATCAGAAACGTCTCCCAGAGCTGAGAATGATTCTTGGAGCTTTGAGGCAGTCTGGTTGGTGGTAAGAATTCTTCTGAAATGCGAAAACAGGAATAATAAATATTGATACAAAGTAGCTAAATTAGGTTGAACCATATGAAACAGCAGTTTCGCACGGTTCAACTTACCTCTTTGAAAGTCTTCCGTAGACTTCAGGTCAGCTAAGTAAACACGTTCCCGATAACCTCCTAAGTGCTAACATCTGCCAGAAGCACAGGCGTGCAGAGAGATGGTGCCTGCCTCCAGGGAAGACACAAAGAACTTTCCTCCCTCAACCAGGGTAATCCTAGCACCTACAGGCACTATGAGGAGCCTTGGTGGTGCAATGGTTAAGAGCTCAGCTGCTAGCCGAAGGTCAGCTGTGGAGATAGAAGGCTTTATAAAGGTCATTCTGTTGGTAATGCGGAAGTCAGAGTGGGGCGGGAGAATAGAGGCTAGAAAACTAGTTCGAGTCTCCTGCAATAGCCCAGACAAGGTAAGGTGAGGGCTTGGCCGATGGCATGGGGAGGAAGTGTGGACCCCGATGATGTCTGATTGGAACGTATTGCGGGGGGGTAAAAGAGAAGGATTCCAGGGTGAGTCTGGAGTTTCTAACTTGAGTGATCATGCCATGAACCAAGATGGGGAACTGAAGAGGAGGAAGTTGGATGGGGAAGATGGGCATGTATGGTTTAAGGTGCCCCTAGGTCATCCTGGTCCCCGGGTGGTGCAAACGGTTTGTGCTTGACTACTAACCTAAAGGTTGGTGGTTCAAACCCACTCAGTGGCACTGCGGAAGAAAGGCCTGTCAATCTGCCTCCATAAAGCTTACAGCCAAGAAAACCCTATGGAGCAGTTCTACTCTTTAACACATGGGGTCTCCATCAGTTGGAACAGACTCAACGGAAATGGTTTGAGGCATCCTGGGGGAGCCGTCCAGGATGCATTCCAGACTACGGTGACAAAGGAGAGGGGCTGGGCCCCAGAAGAGGAATCATCAGTGTAGAGTAGCCTTGGGAGGACAAGAAGTTCAGCTCTGCTCAAATGCTACCTTCTCAGGGGGCCCCGCCCTGACAGCAAGAATCCTTAAATCTCATTAGTTCATGCAGAAAAGATACTTTTTATATAAAGTAGCAATAATAGTCAAAATACTATTACTTCTGTGCTATGTTCAAAATGCTATACAAAATTAAAAACACAGAAACTAGAAACATAGTACAGAGCCAGAAATTTAGAATATGATTGTCTGCAACTGGGTTTGTTCCATAATTAGACCTTCCCAAAGCTTGATCAATGTGGCAAAGCTTTTCCCCCCATTACCAGAATTACATTTCTAATTTTACGTCCAGTGTAGGTTTTATCTTTTTTAAAGCCTTTTGATCCCTTTACTCTTATTATTCTCTTTCCTAATCTATTCCCTCAGTCGCTCGTCTATATTTGTTATGTGTCCCTTTATAGGAAATGACACTGCAGAAAGCTAAGAGCTGAAATGACAAATCAAATTGGATGATGCATATGAAAACTCCTTACAAACGGCAAGGCTCCATAAATACAAGCTATCATCATTGGTGATCCTCTTTAATGGGAAAGGTGTTCCCCAGGCATGCCACCGTCACAAAACTGGCTACTGTCAATAACGAGCGCACAAGGAGCCATTCCCTCCCCAATCTAATTGACTGTTTCTGTAAAGACACGCAGCGTTCTCCTTAAGAACGGCCAGAGTCACCAAAACACAATGACTGCTGAGTTTAGCAAAAGCCAACTTCAGGTGTGATGGGCCCCTCTCTCCAGGCAACCATTCCACTGAACCTCATTTTCAAAAGGAGAACAAGAGAATGAACTCGGCAGGAGTGGGCTGAGGCATCACATAACGGAAATGGCTGTGGCGTGAAAAGTTTCAACATACCAGGCTGACCAATGGGCACACCACACGGGACACAGAGACACCAGCAGACGCATGTATTTTCTCCACTGTTGTGTATTGCATCTGTGTTCCAAAGTCAAGGTCAGCACTGCTGCTTCTTTCCTACCCTTTAAATCGAGGCTGCTCAACCTGGGTACCAGTGATATTTGGGGCTGGATAATTCTTTGCTATGGGGACTGTCCTGTGCAGCGTAGGATATTTAGCAGCATTCCTGGTTTCTACTCACTAGATGCCAGTAGCACACCACCCACCCCCCCGAGCTGTGACAAGCAAAAATAGCTCCAAATGTTCCCTGGGGGACAAAACTGATACCGGTTGAGAACTATTGCCTTAAATCCATCTTTTCTTCCCTACACTTCCTCTGGCTGTTGTGATATTCTGTCGGCCAATGGTTTACCATCCCGGCTGCATACTGGAATCACATGGGGAGCTTTAAAACTTCCAATCCCAGACCAGACTTAATGGTCTGACTGAGACTGGAGGGACCCCAGAAGACATGGCCCCCAGATTCTCTGTTAGCCCAGAAATGAAACCATTCCCTAAGCCAACTCCTCAGACAAAGATTAGACTGGACTGTGGGACATAAAATGATACTCGTGAAGAGAGTTCTTCTTAGCTGAAGTAGATACGAGACTAAATGGGCAGCTCCTGTCTGGAGGCAATATGAGAAGGTAGAGAGGGTCAGGAGCTGGTCGAATAGACATGGGAAATCAGGAGTGGAAAGGAGGAGTGTGCTGTCACAGTATAGGGTGAGCAGCTGGGGTCACATAATAATGTGTGTATAAATTTTTGTATGAGAAACTGACTTAAACCGTAAACTTTTACTTAATGTACAAAAAAAAAAATTTCCAATCCCGGGGTCCCACCCACAGATTTCTGATTTGATGGTCTGGGTGTGTAGCAGGCATGGGAGCTTTAAAATCCCCCCAGGTAATTCCAATGTGCAGCCAACTAGCTATAGGCAGTGGGGACACATATGATGTACTGCAATGATGGCAAGTCAATCAAAGCTGTTTCAGGAGAATTATCTGGAGTGCAGTTTGATGGATGGATAGGAGATGGGGGAGAGGCCAGAGTCAGAGCAGCTA